AGTGCAATGCCGATGTATTTGTTGATTGCTGGTTGACCTGAGTACCAAGCTTCTAAAAATTCCCTAGTGTTCTTTGTGATCTCCCTATCCAGCATTTCAACATTGTCCCAATCGAACTTATGTCCATAGTTATCCGTACGTACTGATCCAAGGGAAGAAATGTCATGGCGTCTGACTGTTAATTGATGTTCACGTAAAGAGAGCTGAAGAGGACGTTCACTTTGTCCTATTTAGTGTTTTTCACGGTCTAAGCAGTTTATTTTGTATCCACCATCTATTTTGTGTCCATTATCTCTCATTGAAGCTGTTATCGCTCTCATCTTTAAGAAGGATTTATTTAATTCACACCAACCATCACTAAGTTTCTTCATATCAGATCCGCCTACATTTTGTGTATAAATCTGTGTTTTGGGGTTGTCTTTTGAGGTATGGAAAGTTTGAGAAATTTATTAACGACTTTGAAAGTTTCTTGCACATACATGCCAAGTAATTTGAGGACGTACAACCACGTTTCTCCATTTTTCTAATCCAGTAATAGAGTTAGGCGGGGTTGTCCAGTTTTTATTTTCTTCAACTTATCGGTTGTTTACATTCTGGAGACAGCTTCGAGAGAGCGCATCTGTACTTCATAGGTGTGTTTTATCAAATCTTTAGTGATAGCTCCTGCCAATCTGATCCGTCCTGAGGTTAGTCTCGTAGTGAAATACCGAGTTCGTGACTTATCGATGAGAGAATTCGTGCACTGTATTTGTAAAATCTAGTCCTTTCACAGTGGGGTTATTTAACTATTCTGCATCAGATGACTGTTGCGTTCAAGGGACCGCTCACATCTGGTGGCTAATCTGTGTAAGTAATGGTGGGTTTCTGATATGTGTTCGGACGTAGTGATGCTGACTCTGGAATGTTTTAGGTGAGTCATCTCATCGGCTTTCACATCACTAACCATTATTCAACACGTACTAGGTGGAAAAGTGTAGACGTTAGACAATGATATCGAAAACGCTCGTATAGAAATGGTGACTCTTAATTCATCACAAATCCCAGGACGAGGTCTTGAAGTTTACTAAACTGGAAAGAGATTGTCTTGTATATATATATAATATTATATTACAATTTCTAAAATGTTCTGCTGTTGTTTCTAACTGAACAAAAGAACCTTTCAGCCACACTGAAACGTTATTGATGTCATTTCAGCAAGAGGTCACTATTTTGTTTCCTTAACTTAAATATACGACGGTCAGGATTTTTAAATCGTAAGTATAGCACGTTCAGATGCTTCACGATTGATAGGTCCTTATGAATGAGATATGTAAATATTACTGTGAACAAGAACCATGTACTATCAACATTCTATCGACTAATCCATCTATAAGAGCTGCTTGAATCTTTCTGTTGTTGATCATTCTCGGCATATTTGCATCCTACATGGATTGTCATTAGGTTGGACAGTGGATAGCAACTGAATCCAGAATTATCGTTTTGTCATATTTCTGACTCGTAAGCTGGATGCATTTTTACCTGAATGTTAATGTTCATACGGGAATTAAAACCCAGTACTTTTCGCACCCAACTCGTAATCCGCTAACTCAGCGACTGTCTGGACTCAGCAGCTAAATGGAGGGATATTTGGTCCAAATGCCGAAGAAAGACCTAAGTATATGTGAACACTATCGACAAAATTACCAAGTGAGTTACTGAACGGAATGAAAGATTTAGTAGTTGCACACATTCTTAAGGATCTATTATGTAAGAAAAAAAATTAGGAAACTGAATGACTGTTAATTAATCAATGGAATAGAAATCATAATTACAAACCGAATTCTTCGATTGCAGGAATGTATCTAACACTGTGAATAGGAAAAATCTATATAATTTTCCTGGACACTATGGAGTATCCGAGAGAATCTTCACTATAATTTGGAACTCCAACGAATTACATCGATACACAGATACATTTCAAGTCGCGAGTGGTATCAGACAAGGTTGCTTACTCCCCCTCCTGGTGGTTGGCTGGATTATAAATACCCACACCTCACGGATTCAAGAAATATAGTAGACAGCTTGAATGTAGTTAGAGGACCTGGACTTCCCAAATGACCTAACTCTTTTATCCCATACTCAGCAACAAAAGCAGGTGGACAAACATTATAGTAGAAGTAAGCTTCAACGTACACAATGGAAAGACAAGATCCTGAAATACAACTCTGCTAGCGTTAACCAAATTACTCATGATAGAGAAGTTCTAGAAGATGTTGGAACTCTTACATATCTATTCAGCATCGTTAATAAATAATGATTATCTTATGTAGATGTGAAGGCATAAAACCAGAGCAGGATTCCGGCAATTTAAGAATATTTGGAACTTAAAATAACCGTGACCCAACACCAAGGTTAAAAATTCTCAATACAAACGTCAGGATAGCTCTATTGTATGGAAGTGAACCTTGGAGAACTATCGAAACCATCATTCAGAACATACAGGTATTTATGAGAAGTTATCTACGCAAAGTACTCCAGATTCATTGGCTATTAGAGAACAAACCAATTTCTAGCTGAGTAAAAAATTACTAAAAAAAACCCTGCAGGTAAATAGGAAACACTTTACAAAAACCACCAATCTGCATTAAGTTGGAATCCTCAAAACAAAGAGAAAATAGGCTGAACAAAGAACATATAGCGCCAGCAATCGGAGGTAAACACCAAGACCATGCATTCCACTTAACAATAAATATTAAGGACAGAGTTAGCTGGAGATCGATTGCCAACGGTCTATTTCTCTTGAGGATTACCAGGTGTGAGAATGTAATCTGTATAATATAAAACTTAGCAGAGAGTACTATTTATCAATATATAAATACTTTTTAACCACTGAATATTATTTAAGTCTACACTAATTAGGTTTCGTTTCTAAGATAAGATAATTCATAAATTTTCTCAAGAAATGGTGATCATTTCATGCAAATTATCAATTTTCACTATGAATACATTTTATGAAATGAAAGTAGGATAGTATTTCACTTATCATTATTATTATTATTATTTTTCAGTGATTCACAAAATGCAATTGAATAAAAGAAAGAATATTGATTTTAATAAATTCATTAATTTATACAGTCATCTATTTAAACTAATGATTGGAAAAAAAAACTGACCACATTTAAGAAACATACATGGTTTAAAATGACAGTGTATAAACTTAAAGGTTGTTAGTGAAATAAAATTACTGTTAGGATATTCATCCAATATCCCAAGAGAATTATTAGCCAATTCCTATAGGCTAATTCCTACTGGTCAGTTTTATGGTCCTCCTAGATATCAACGTCACGTGCTCCAATGTTGTCTCTTATTGATTGTCCTGACTATCAATGTCACTTTAAATGTTGCTTCCTATTGGTCGTCTTAACTGACAATGTCACAGACTTCGATGCTGTTTCCCATTCGACCAAATGTATAAATACGCATTATGTGTAACGTTTTATGATTAGGACTAGGACCCGGTCCTGGATCCCTAGTCCGGGATCCTGGTTCTTTTCTGTACTCGGACCTCGTACTTTCTGGATGCTTGTGGAATACAGGTTCTACTTTATATCAAGTCTTGCCTCCTTATTTTCACTCAATATAGGGGTAGGATAATCGGATTAGAGTAGCGTTTCGTGTCACCGGATCCTCGGTCATCGCTCTCGTATTCCGACTAAGGTATACTCGTAACAGTTCAAGTATATCAAATTGACGTGTTTACGTGCCGGCCTAACAATTACTAATATTGAATTTATTAATGCATAATGTTGATTTGCATAAGTTTATAACTTAAATGAAATTTTGAGATTAGAATGAGAGAAATAGTAATTATAAATGAGTTAGCATGTTTTCTAAAGAGACCTATATGATGTACGAAGTGATATATGGATTTATATCATGTTAAAAAAAAGAATAAGAGCCATATATTATAATGATGCAACTGAACAGGAACTAAATCCTGCGAACTCTGTAAACAAATTTATGACTACAAAAGCTGGAGTAGTAGAAGTATAAACTTTAATTAGGAAATCTTTGTCCATACAACTAATATTCATTAGGTGAGATACAACCAGGGAAATACTGACTTGAAAATTATGTAGAACTGTGATTAGTGTTTTCCATGCATTCAATGATGACATCGAGATTTGGAGGTGGACCAGTTGTCGCGTTTTGTATTTATTAATTTGACTGCTCCTTTGGAACCAGGGAAATCTACATTTTCGTGCTTGCGAACACCTTACACTGTGACTAAGCCAAGGTGTTTGTCAAGGCAGAAAACAGCTAAATACTGTATCATATAGTGTAAACTGGTCAATCCACGAATAGACCAATCATTTTCAATGGTTCATCTGGTTAGTTATTTTCTGACAAAAATTGTTGGGCTCAAACTCAGTGTAACTGAAGAATCGACAGCTGTTCAGATTAAAAAGCCTGAGCTGTCTGTGTACAAATTAAGTATGTTTATACCCTTCTCTTACCTTTTCCAAAATCAGACCCAGTTAGTCAATAGTCATTCTAATTGTAGAATCACTTAGTTATACAAATGTATATTCAACCATTCCCTGTTGTATTTTCATAACTTAGAATTATTCTTATTCAAATATTCTTATAATTTTTACTTTGTTCACGTTAGTTGTTAGCCCTCTATTAGGTCAGTGGTTTAGAAGGTGAAGTGCTCACCACATGAATATCTGAATATCTTGGTCACGATCGCCCTGGCAGTCTCGTGGATATACATTCTTGAGAAGCTCGAGGCTTCTAATGTTTCCTGTTTTTCAATGCTTGTCTAACTAAATTCATTCTGTGATCTAAACTAAGACAATTCCATAATCTCTTCGAAGCTTCTTTATTATTCTTTCGATTTGCTAATAAATTCTAAATTCATACTCCATCATTTTGAACGATGTGTTTGTCTTAAACATGACCATATCTCTTAGATCATTCATTTTCGAGATATAACAGCAGAAGTTGATGGGAATTTATCAACAAGAATATTTTTTTTAAAAAAAGAAATTCATTGATCTATGATATGAATTTTTGAACAATTATTGATTAAAATCATCAAATCATTTTACGAATCAGATTGAGAAATTTTTTTCTATTTGTCAAAGACAAGATGTATATCCAATGTAGTTATTCATTTAAACACTTGTCATTAAAGTATGGTGGAGATGAGTGCAATCTTTAAATTCAATATCAAATATTATTTTTTTCAAGTTGTCACTGAAATATTTTTTTTGAAATCACCATAATAATTATTATTTTATTAACATTGACATTGTACATGGTTTCGAACTACATCATATTAGTAATCAATGAAGTTAAAATAATGTAATGCATTTTTTTAAATTAGTTTTTGTGTCAAATTATTATTATTATTAATAATGATAATAATCATAATAATTTTTTGGTTTTGTGTCCATTTTTGAACAGTAAAATGGAGGTCTTCCATCTTCTGCATATTTACCAAACAGTTTATCGTCGAAATATACTCCAAAATTGGTTAGGGAAGTGAAAAAGTCTATATTTCTAGCAAGTGGTATTATACCGACTACAAATGACTGAGCTGAATGCCCAGGACGTACATTGCTATTGGGATATTCACTTGGATCAGGATTATATGTTTTTAACCAACACTAAATTTCAGAAAAACATTCAAATTAGAAATGTTACATATGATATACTTTCTAGTGTCAGTTGTCAAGTTTAACATTTTGAAACAGTTTTTCATTTTGTCAAATGATTTGCTTACGATATATATATATATATATATATATATATATTAAGCGTTTGCACATGATAGTGAATTTCATAACTTTGAACCGTGGTAGTGGGGTCTCGAATACATATTCCTGAGCAGTCCCAGACTAGTACAGCTAGTGAATCAGTCAGCTACAACTTAGAACTTCGTAAATACTTAAGTCAGTTCAAGCTGACATATCATGTTGGCGTAGAGGGATGGAATTGTCAATCCCATAGTAGTAGAAGTATTATCGGTAAAGAGAAGATCAGGGTTTGAAGATGTTATTAATGAAGTACAATGCATTGAATTAAATTTTAAAAAATAAAAATGAAGGTGAAAAGAAATCCAGGAGATTTGGTTATGAGACTAGACAAAGAACGGATGCACTTACACCATTGCAAACGATTTGGGGCCTTTTCATTCAGGGTTTCTAACCATAGGTTACTATCATCCCGTGAACCCCAACCTAGTAGTCTACATCTACCAACATGACTCAGTCCACTTCTCAATGAATTCATGGATTTGTGAATGCTTTGGTTTGAATGCCCCTAGCTTTCTTCAACCTACCCCTACATAATAAAATATTGCTCCTCCGGGCATTCGGTGAGTGAGAATATGTAACACATGTCTCAATCGCCACAAATGATGAACCTTCACTATTTCATCAATTGATCTGCCACCCTTATCCTAAGAACAGCCTTGCTTACTCGGTGGTCTTAAGATACACGAACAATGCTTCGAAGACACCAATGATCGTGAACTAGTAACCTACGAAAATCCTCCGCTCTTGCTGGCCATGATCCACAGTCATTCAGTAGGACGGAGAGGACTGCTGAGCAGTAGACTCGTCCTTGTTTTGGTAGACGGATATATCGCCTACGCCATAGGTGACGCAAGTTGACACATACAATTCGAGTCTTCTTTATCCGTGCTGAGACTTCGTTACAAACTAGGTCTGCTGCACTGATGATGCTCCCGAGAAAAGTGCGAAGGTCAACTACTTCACTTCCTACCATTAGTTCAGGTGCCGACGCCAGCCGATCCTGAAGCAACATTTTTTATTGCAGGGGGAAAAAAAGCATCCAGACCATACTTGCATTGTTTCTCAAGGTGTTCGAAGTACTCTTCATTTTTTAAATATCTTCACCAGACTGAACTAAGTCTACCGGTAAAACTTCAATTCCCGAAATGTCAGACGAGGATAGTGTTGTTTAAACGACTGCCTATGACCAAGTTGAATACTGCTTGAAGTAATCAGTTCCGATGACAGTTCGCCATAAGCTCTAACTCGACCTTTAGTGTTTGGGTAGAGGCCTTGCATAAGAATAATGTACCTTTTACTACACCTATCCCTGTCAAACACTGCCACAGAACCTCACGATCTACAGAGTTGAGTGCCGCCTTAAGGTCAGTCAGTCAGTTGCAACGTAGAACTTCGTACGTAAGTACATCAGTTCATGTCGCCATACCACATCAGCACAGAGATATAATTGTCAATTCAAATCCAATAGAAGAAGAGGTAGTAAAGGTATTAGAAGTAATCGGAGAGGTTAGGATTAGGAGATATTATTCATGAAGTATGATTCAATGAGATAAGTTTAGAAAGTAAAAACTAGAGGTGTTGTAGAACTCAGAAGATTAGGATTTGAGAGAACACAAAGAATAAATGCACTGGCGCCATTGCGAACGATTTTGAGCCATGTCATTCAAGGTCTCTAGCCATCGATTATTATCATCTCGCGGACCCCAACCAGGTAGTCGACAATTACCGACATGGCTAAGTCCACTCGTCAATGACTTCATGGATTTCTTCCATGTTTTGGTCTGGCCGCCCCTAGCTTTCTTCCAACCTATTCCTACACTACAAAACAAAGCTCGACGAGGCAGTCGGTGATTAGGCATACGCAACACGTGTCCCAACCACCTCAACTGATGAAGTTTCACCACTTCATCTATTGATCTGCCATTCTTACCTAGCACCCGTTTCCTAATAACAGCGTTGCTCACTCGGTTGTCCCACGATATACGAGCAATGCTTCGAAGACACCTATGATCGAAAACCAATAACCGACGAATATCTTCAACTCTCACTGGCCATGTTTCACAGCCATAAAGTAAGACGGAGCGAACCACTGCGCAGTACACTCGTCCTTTAGTCAGCAAACGGATATCTCGCCTACGCCATAAGTGACGCAGGTTGGCGAAAGCCAATCGAGCCTTCTGTATCCGTGCCGAGATTTCGTCAGTCACCAGGCCATCGGCACTGATGAGACTCCCAAGATAAGTGAAGCGGTCTACACGTTCGACTACTTCACTCCCTATCACTAGTTCAGGTGCTGTTGCAACCCAATCTTGAAGCAACATTTTGCATTTCGAGGGTGAGAACCGCATCCCGAACATGCTTGCATTGTTGCTTAGGGTAGTCAGAATACTCTGCATTTTGTCAGCGTCTTCACCAAGTAGGACAATGTCATCGGCATATTCTAAGTCAATAAGCGAGCCACCTGGTAAAAGGTCTACTCCAGAAAATTCAGACGAGGATAAGGTTATTTCTAGGAGCATGTCAATGATAAAATTAAACAAGAATGGAGAGAGTGGACATCCCTGACGGACACCACTTGATGTAGAGAATTCCGAGGACAGTTCGCCATAAGCTCTCACTCGACCAGTGGTGTTTGAGTAGAGAGCTTGTATGAGGTTAATGTACTTCTTTGGTACACCTTTCAATGACAGACACTGCCACAGAACCTCACGATCCACTGAGTCAAATGCCGCCTTAAGGTCCAGGAAAACAACTATTGTAAGACGCCTAAATGTGTGTCTGTGTTCCAGGACCTGTCGTAGTGTGAAAATGTGGTCTATACAACCACGTTCAGGTCGAAAACCAGATTGGTTTTCTCGAGTCTGCTCTTCACGAGCTTTCGTTAAGCGTCGAAGTATTATTGAGGCCAATATTTTAGATACTATATTAGTTAGACTTATTCCCCTGTGATTGTCACAAGAAGACTTCTGTCCTTTCTTATAGATTGGGTAGAGAAATACTACTCTGAATCTGTGTCTATATTCTAGGACACGACGCAGTAAGAATGTCTTGTCTTTACAGCCTCACAAAGTCTGAATCCAGCCAGGTTTTCTCAATTCAAATCTTAAAGAGCTCTAGTTAGGCGCCGGAGTATTATTGAAGTAATATCTTAGACACTGTATTAGTTAAACTGATCCCTCTGTGGTTGTCACCAGAGAACTTTTGTCCTTTCTTATAGATCGGGTCAATCAGTGATTGAGATCAGTCGTATGGGATTACGTCCAGTTCTACTTAAGATCTCTGCCAATCTGACCTCTTAAACTGGACCACCATACTCCGGAATCTCATGGGCTAACTTGTCACAGCTCCCTGCTCTCTCTCTCGCTTTAGATTTCCAGTAGTTTTTTCAACTTCATTAAGAGCCAGATGACTTCCATCAATTCGCCATTCAGGCTGACTGGAGATCTTGGGTAACTGAAACGTGACTGAAGGCAATTTGAATTGCTCTCTAAAATGTTCTGCTTATCGATCCGATCTTCTGGATTGAGAATGAAAAAGAGTCCCACATTTATCTGTCTCATTTACAGTCGGATTTATAATACCGGCTTCCTTGATAAGTCTGAACAGTAATCTGTTCTTAAGTATGGCTGCTACCTTTTCCATCTCTTTTGATTTTGCTAGCCGTCACTGTTCACGATAATTGCGCAAGCTTTTATTCAGCTTATGCTTAAGCTGACTCCGCTTCTCATCATGTTCAGAGCGCCAGATGAGATGAGTTTCCGAACATCTGTCAGTTAGGCAGATGCTACTGAAATCTACTGCATATCCTCGACTTTTTGGTCTACTCTATTAGCAGATATCGTTGCTGTTTCCACAGCATTTTGGATATCATTCCAAGCCGCCTTGCGGTGAGCATCACTTACATAGCTGTCTCACAGTTTTTGTAGTGGCTCCTGGAATATTCTCTTGACTTTTCTATCGTTAAGTAGAACTTTAAGAGGTTTCCTTGCTATGCCGTTCCTACGTTCAGTAAGCCACAGAAAAATATGCTCTCGTAATAGAGCATGATCTGGATCCAAACATGTGCCACAGAATGAGCGACCGTCTGTTATCGAGCTTCTGATAGCCTTGTGGTCCGGTTTGGTCCAGCGTTGAGCTGAATTCGGGGGTCACCATGTCAAAACATGTTTTTTCTTATGCTTACTGTTAGTGTTTGCTAGAAATAGGCGGTCATTCGAGAATAGTTGCAGCAGACGGTCGCGATTATCAGTTCTTTGAGCCGCGACACCATAAGATCCACTCGGGTATCTTTCAGTTTCGTTTAATCTACCTACTTGAACATCAAAGTCACCAGCCACTATTACTACATCAGAGCACTTAGATTTTATTGGCGCTTGGTAGGGTCTCTGTAAAATTCATCCCTTACCTCATCCGAGCTTTAATCAGTGGGAGAGTCGGTAGAGTCGATGAAGAGGCAGTGGCGTGTGTCTTCATCTTTCCGAGTCCTTACTGTCCCGTTTAGTCGGACAGTACACAAGCTACTGTCTACTAGGACCTAGTCTAAGACAGTTAGTTCTGCCCTTCAACTCAATGCTATACTTACATCAGCGAGGTCATTAGAAGCAGGTATGGGGCTCCCAGATACACGAAACGAAATTCGGAATGGTTCTTCGTTTTGACATTGTGAAGACAAATAAATGGCTGTACTAGGATCCTGTGTGTGCGTTTCAGAGACGCAGCATACATCGGTGTCACGAGACACAGAATCCTTGATAGGGAAGCCTGTTGCCCTATTTGGCACAAGTTTCGAACATTCAAAGCTCCAACATGTAGTTTAGAGAGTGTTGTTTCAGGAGACCAGGAATAACCTTTCGTGTACTCGAATCGTTTGTATCAGAGGCGCCAGATGATAAATGAATCTGGGAAGGTTTGGTAATGGCGGTAGGAGGTTTATTAAGAGGTATAGAAAGGATCTGACTGCGATTAGTATGGTCTCGGGTGTTGTTAAGAGCATGAGGGTGGTAGTCCTGGCTGCCCTTACCACGGAAACATAATAGCACAATGCAGCTCTCAGTCCTGCACAACCTCCATGCTGATAATATAAACTGAAGTGATGAAATAGGTGAGTAGTCTTGACGTCAGCAAATCGTTAATTATTCTGTGGGATCACTTATTTGACGTTTGTTTTATCATCGTTTTGTAATTTTTATCAGTGTTAACCGTACCGAAAGAACAAGAATCGAGCGCAAAGAAATCAAATTGGTTTACACTAGCTCGTGAAAAAGATATTGGATATTGAAGATCCGTGTATTGTTCAGTTGTATAACTTGTTTTCGTGGATTAATAATTCAAACTCGATAAAATTTGTTAATAACTGTCTACCCAAATAATTCCCAACATTGAAAAACAGTCAATCTTTATCGAATTCCCTAAAAGTAATTGAACATAATTTTTTTTGTGGAACTTAAAATTCATATTTTCAGTCACTGTGTTGTGATTTCTGAAGGCTAGAATTAAGCAGCTTTTCACGGCATTTTGGCTCGTTTTGGTTCCTCAAGTTACACTGATTCTTATTGAATTATATTCATATTAGGTTGATCTGATAGATATATTTTCGTTTCGGTAAACCACCAGTATAAGATATTTTACTGACGTTTTTATTTTCTCAATAATAATTAAATTCAAAATGGAATTAGTTAGTACTGAGTTAGCATTGTTGGTTCGATCTCTGTTAGAGCCGTCAGTATGCACTGCCGAGTAATCGCATACTGTGACGAAACATTTATTCTATACTTCTTGGTTTCAATGGGTGTTTAAAAAGATCAGTCCTTAAGGTGAACTATGACATTTGACATTCTCTACAGACTTCCTACAGTTAAGCATAATGCATTGCAGCTTTTTAGAATGGGTTGATTTTGTTCATCAGACAGACAGACAACACAGAACTTCGTACATAAGTACATCAGTTCACCTTACCATACCACGTCAGCACAGAGACGTAGCTGTCAGTTCAAATTCAAGAGTGATAGCGATAATAAAAGTATTAGCAGCAATGGAGAAGATTAGGGAGCAAAGATATGATTCAAAAAGTATGATTCAGTGAGATGAATTTAGAAGGAGAAAGATAGAGATTATGAGGATTTCAGAAGGTTAGAATTAAAAAGCACACAAAGAGTGCATGCACTTGCGCCATTGCAAACGATTCTGAGTCATGTCGTTCAAGGTCTCTAACCATTGGTGACTTTCGTCTCGCGGACCTCAACCAGATAGCCTACATCTACCAACATGACTCAGTCCAACTGTCAGTCACTTCATAGATTTCTGACATGTTTTGGTTTGGTCGCCCCTAACTTTCTTCCAACCTACTCCTACACCACAAAACATAGCTCGTGGCGGCAGTCGGTGTTTAGGCATACGTAACACATGTCCCAGCCATCTCAACTGATAAAGTTTCAATGCTCCATCTATTGATCTGCCATCCTTACCTAGAACTCGTTTCCTAACGATAGCATTTCTTATACGGTTGTCCCAGAATACACTAGCAATGCTTCTAAGACATCTGTGATTGAAAACAAGCAACCTACGAATATCTTCTACTCTCACTGGCCATGTTTCACAGCCATAAAGTAAGACGGAGCGTACTACTGCGCATTACACTCGTCCTTTATTCAGCGAACGAATATCTCGCCTTCGCCATAAGTGACGCAGGTTGGCAAAAGCCAATCGAGCCTTCTGTATCCGAGCTGAGATTTCGTCAGTCACCAGCCCATCAGCACTGATGAGACTCCCGAGATAAGTGAAGTGGTCTACACGCTCAACTACTTCACTCCTTATCACTAGTTCAGGTGCCGATGCAACCCAATCTTGAAGCAACATTTTGCATTTCGAGGGTGAGAACCGCATCCCGAACATGCTTGCATTGTTGCTTAGGGTAGTAGTCAGAAGGCTCTGCATTTTTTCAGCGTCTTCACCAAGTAGGACTATGTCATCGGCATATTCTAAGTCAATAAGCGAGCCTCCTGGTAATAGGTCTACTCCTGAAAATTCAGACAAGGATAAGGTTATATCTAGGCGCATGTCTATGATAAAATTAAACAAGAATGGAGAGAGTGGACATCCCTGACGGACACCACTTGAAGTGAAGAATTCCGATGACAGTTCGTCATAAGCTCTCACTCGACCAGTGGTGTTCGAGTACAGAACTTGAATGAGGTCGATATACTTCTTCGGTACACCTTCCAATGACAGACACTGCCACAGAACCCCACGATCAACAGAGCAAAATACAGCCTTAAGGTCCAGGAAGACAACTATTGTAGGACGTCTAAATGTGTGTCTGTGTTCCAGATCTATACAGCCACGTCCAGGTCTGAAACTAGATTGGTTTCCTCTGGTCTGTTCTTCACGATCTAACTCTGTTTCTAGTTGTTCCTGGAATATATTATTAGCCTTATTATCATTAAGTAGAACCCTAAGAGGTTTACTTGCTAAGTCTTTCCTACGTCCAGTAAGCCTCAAACAAATACGTGCTAGCACTAGTGCATGATCTGAATCCAAACATGTGCCCCAGAACGAGAGACAGTCCTCTATCCAACCCCTCCATCGGTGGCTGATGGCAATTTGATCTAGTTGAGTCCAACATTGAGACGACTTCGGGGGTCGCCAGGTCAAAGGATGTTTTTCCTTATGCCTAAAGTTAGTGTTTGCTAGAACTAGACGGTTATCTGAGCACAGTTGCAACAGACGGTCTCCATTGTCTGTTCTCTGAGCCGCGCAACAAAACATCCACCAAGGTGTCTTTCATTTTCACTTAGTCTACCTACTTGTGCATTGAAGTCACCAGCCATTATTATTATATCAGAGCGCCTAGCTTTTTGGAGGAGGTCCGAAAGCTTCCTGTAGTACTTGTCTTTCAACTCGTCTGAACTGCAGTCAGTGGGGGCATAGGCAGAAACGACGAAGAGGCAATGACGGGTATCAATATCTTTCCGAGTCCTTACTGTCCCGTTTAATCCGACAGCGCACAAGCGACTATCTACAGGGATCCAGTCAAGGAGAGATTGTTCTGCCCTACAACTCAATGCTATACCTACACCAGCGAGACGCCGCGAAGCAGCATCAGGGCTACTGGATACACGAAGGGTAAATCGAGTTGCTTCTTTATCTTGACATGGTGAGGTCAAGTGAATGATGCTACTCGGATCCTGTATGCGCGTTTCCGAGACGCAGAATACATAGATTAAGCGAGATTCTAAAGTCCTAGGCAATGAAGCCTGTTGCCCTATTTGACACAATGTCCGTACATTAAATGCTCTAACATGTAGTTTGGAACGGGGTTTAATGAAACCAGGAATGACGTTTCGTGAACTCGCATCGTTTGAATTAGCTGTGCAGTGAGCTAAAGAAATGCGACTAGAGTAAGTCATGGAGATAACGGAGATATAAAGGGGTGTAAGAAGGATTCGATTTCGACCAATTTGGTCTCGTGTGCTGTTACGGGTATAAGAGCAGTTGTCACTTCCCGGCTGCCCACACCTTGGAAGGTTGTTTCTTGAGGGACCTGTAAAGGAAGGTAGATTGGTGTTGGTCTTAAAGACGTGGTTGCGTGACCGCAGAGTCCTAGGGACAACTGCTTGAGGCCGGTCACGCACGACCTTTTGATGAAAGGATTTTTGAGTATTAGCTCCGCTCTTAAAAGCCCTTAGTGGGCAGCCCTTACCGCCGGAGACGGAAATCCGTGGGGTAAGGTGAGGTGTGACATTTTTAGGGTTGACCTTTTCTAACCCCTTCCTTCCTTGTGAGAAGGCGACATCGCTGCAGATGCTGGTTGTCCGAGGGAAACACGTTACTGCTGTCACACCCGTCTGCAGTCAGCAGTACGACTTCGTGATCAGATCTTGAGTAGCTGCTTTTAGTCTAATCATTCTCCAATCGACCTGCCTGGCATGGTAGAACCTTCAGGGACATATGTTCCAGCCAATATAGATCGGTTGGGTCATCACGATAAGCAAGCCTGACCACCACGTCAGGTAGCAGCTACGATCGGGCATTTGGTTCGTCACTCTTTCTTCATCATGTCACACTTTTTCTTTCTATAATTAAAAGAAACTAAACTATAACTCGGTTCTATCAGTAAGATGATTATTTATAGACTGACAAAAAAATGAAATAGATTGATTAATAAAATTCAATAATTGAATTGGTAAAATGAGATGCTCAATTGAATAATAAATATCTTGACAGTAAATAGTGAAAGAGTGCAATACATCACATAACTAAAACTAAAAGATTTCAAATATTTCTTTTAAGTAATATAAAATGAAATTCTGTATTAGAGAAAATTTTTGTAAATATTTATCAAATTAAATATATACATGATTATTAGCTTACTTCAAATATTTTATCTACAAATGTATGATGTAATATGAATAATGGATCATTGCTTGCTGTTCCTGTACAACACATACTTCCATCAATTAAAACATGTAGTTTATTATGGAACCATCTTTGATTTGGATCAGCACCAGGTCGACCACAAAATCCTTCCAATGCAATATTAAATGATCGACATTGAATACTGAGCCGTTCCCCAGCAACATGATATCTATACAAATATATATATATTTATATACATAAATATATATATGTATATATTTGAAAATGATCAGACGGTAGTTTTTGCAACTGATCAGCAATTTGCGGTATTTGTAAACATAATAAATGATGAACTAACTACTTATCTCTAAGATTTGATTGTAAGTATTGCACAACACATCTAATCGTTTAAATTCATGTATGTTTAAAATCATGTATGAAATTGATCAGGATTTCGAATTTATTGTTCTGCATGAAATTGACAAATTCTATCCAGCTTTTTTGTTAAGACTTATTCTTGGTTGAAATACAATTCGGTCCTTTATTTATCACTCAAAAGCTGAATACCTCAAATGCATGATTATAATCTTATGAATGAATGATGTGTTATCACATTTCAGCTGGATGCAGTGTTTACTAATCTAATGAAATTTCATAAGAAGTATTATTTTATTTTATTGATAAAAGCATCTCTTCTTATAATTCTATTCATCACTTTTACATTGAAAATATTTAAATTTTTTTCACTGAAATATCAATTATTTTCAAAATTATATTATATATTTATTCAAACGCTCCTGATTAAAAATACTTATTATATTATATAATCAATCGTAACAAAAATAATGCGTAGAAAACCAATTGTAAATTTTTTTTATTGAACTGTATGGTAGAATCTGATCATAGTGTTATAAATAAGAACTAGCTGTTATTTGATGATGATTTTTCTATTCATAAATGACGCCACCAATAATCCTGAAAGTTGTACAAAAGAACGATTCTTGAAAATATGTATTTATGTCCTAGTAATTTGTAGGTACTGAGATTTTTTGTTTCTAACTGATCATTATTCAAGAGCTCTAAGCTAAGTATTTCAATGGAGTTTATATTGCTCAGATTAGGCAAAGAATATTTGCAACTGGTTTCTGAATGTAATTTTATGTTATACCACTTTTACGTGGTACATGTATATATATATATATATATATATATATGTGCATAAATAGTTGTCTACTTACCTACTTAAGCTTAAAACAAATCTCAAATCGTCCGCATCCGGAAAACTCCCTTTATTAAATTTTCGTGTAATTGTCCCTCTATTTCTCACTCTCTGACAACCGGAACAAAGCATATCTTTTATTGGTTCGTAGCAGAATTCAGTTAGATTATGAAATGGTGAACCAGATGATATATGTGTTCCACGGTCACTCTGTCTACCTGGTGCACCGATAAATCTATTTGTACATATATCACAATGTCTTAAACCAATCCAATCCCAATATGGTGTAGCATAATCTGATATACCAAAAACTGCTTTCGCAATTCTCGTCATGAATTTCTCCCATAATAGAAGATAATAACGATGCCAAGTTGGAAAACACACACCGTCATGATTAAAGTTTAATATTCCATAATCTTGACAATCTTTAACATTTTTATACAATGTACTGCGACTACCATAACGATGTAAGTAAGTAATGTAATATTGAATACTGGCATGTTCTAATCTAGGCCTTGTCAATGGATCAACGTCCCAATTATTCGATTCATCAACTAAAAGATAACCAGATGGCCATGTTTGGCTTAATACGATTACAGTTTTAAATACATGTAACTCTCTATCGGTTAAAGTTTTTATATCACGTCGTACTTTCACTGAACGTTTATTACAGTGTCGACCTTTCCATCCAAACCAGCAGTCATCACATGCTGCACCAAAATAATTACCAAAACATTGACAAAAGTATATAAAATAACGTCTTGGCCAATCGATTCTATCATCTATCAGAAATACACTTGGCACTTTTTCTTTAGGTGTCCATATTTGAATACATTCACCGTATTTTGGTCCACCACATACTTGACCATTAATACTGCTTCTTGGACAGCATACTGGTATACGTCTAGTTAAATTATAACCGCATTGTTCTGGTATCATTCCAAATGTTATAATTAATTGATTGTATAATGAAAATATAAAGTAGATTAATGTTAATATTCTAATCATTTGAAAAACACAATTCAATCGAATCTATGTATATAATTCCAGGCAACTAACAACTTTATAGTAGGATTGTAATTGTACTTAAATTTTTTCAATTTGAATACGTTGACAATTTTACAAAATAAATGTTGTTGTTGTTTTTTTTTCAAAAAAAAATAATCATGATGTGCTTATTGATCACCTTCAGTTATTGGTTGAATAATTAAAAAAAAGCACAATTATTGAATGGTAGTCGTAAATTAAAATAGAATGAGCGAGAAATAATAATTACAATGTTTACAAATAAAAGAGTGCAATTTTAAATAGTAACAGTTGTAATATAAAAATGCACTTTAAAATTAATGTGTATTGTTGAATAATGTCGAACCATTGAATTGATATTTTCAAAAAAAAAATTTCATGGAATTTTTTGATTGTGACGATTTGTAAAGTGTACTTAATTGTTGATAAATAATAATAAATTTATCAAGCTGCACGAATATATAGATCTCTACTAAAAACAAATGTTATTCAATAAAAGTGTATATAATTGAGATTGCATGATAATTAACTGACAATTACTGACTTGAATGAATTTGAAATTTAATCTTAAACGTTGAATTTGTTGAATAAGTAATAATATTTTTGATGCTTTATGATTGCGAAATTAAAATTTCCAATAACTTGTCTATAGAATAAAAATTCTAACAATAAAACATGATGGATGCTTATATGTGTACAACCAAAATGATTCCGATCTTTATTGTCTTGAAATAAACGAGTTGAAAATTCAATCCAAACCGAAAATCAATGATTCAATCAATTACTAATTAACTACAATGTTCTTTATTTTAGAAGGAGGCCTACTCATCGATCGATAATCACATTCAGATTGAATGTGAACAACATCACTGATGAACTAAGGTCATTCGCAAGAAAAAGGCGACAAAATATTGGAAAATAAAACTAAAAGGACAAAAAAGATTAGATACTATGAAACCAATAAAAAACAATAATCACGACAGTAGAGGTAAAAATGTGCCAAGAAAATGGAAAATATTACACGAAATAAACAGAAAAAAATCCATTAACACTATATTAGTGAAACAGAGAGAAAAAACCACCAGCAGAGAAGCACACGGAAACCAATGGAAAGAAAGAAGAGAGATTGATAAGCGTGAAAAAATTCAATTAAATATACATATACATGCAGGGATTAGGAATGAGTGAATGCATTACGTGAGATTGAATATAAGCGCGCTGAATAACAGCTTATATACGAATAACAACGTGTGAGTATGACAATGTACGAAAACATATATGAATGCACACGCACCCAGTCAGTCAAAATCTTCGTCATCTCCACCAATAAATTGAGCACGAGTGAGGAGCACACGCCACCTATACACATTGCAAGTATGTGCGAGTCGGAATCGTGTGTTTCGCAATGAATGACTTATCGCTTTCTCACCAATCATACGTGTCGCGTTCATCAGACCGATCAACTGTCCGGTTGTGCCAGTCATCTGGAATCGTTGTGCACAGTGGTGTTCGGATTACCATCTTCTGTTCTCACCTCTCGCCACGTCTGCTTTCACTGCTTCTTACACTCCACCCCCCCCCTCCCAACCAACATTATGTTGGTTCGTCGCATGGAATCTCGTCAGCACAGATTACATTTCATCCACCGTCAGTTGTAGGTTACGTCAACTCTCGTGTCTGCATGGATCGCGCAAACTCACCATCTCCGTATCGATTGCATCGATGAGTGTGTTGTGCAGTTCACACTACCCCACGCATTGACTGGAAGAGTGAGAAACGTCGGTCGATTAGGCGTGCATCTTGACTATGGATGTGTGTCTGTGTGTGTCTGTGATCGCGATGCACAGAAGACCGGTTGTGGTGTGCAATGTGGTCAGCGCTGGTCGACAGTGTATTGGCAAGACGAGACATGCGACGAAGTCGGTCAACGAGATGAGTGAAGTGGACAATGATCTGCATCAGAAGTTGTGTGTGAAATTCGGCGACGACGCCATGTGTAGGCGCTTATATGCATGCATACACATGCAAATGTACACGATTTTATATGTGACTGGATCTGGTTGCTCCGATGCTGTGGATTGAGGCGCCGCAGTTGTTGAACTGGGCACGTGTGCAGATGAACGTGTCTGGGAGTGTGTGGATGAGGTGAGTGTACAGAGAGACAGGCGAGCGCCAGTTTGTACTTGTTGTTTGGAGTGTCGATGGGACTGCAGTTTTATTTAGTGTTGTGCGTAGTGAAAAGCGTGTGTCGGAGGTGGGATTCGAACCCACGCCCACATCGTGGACCAGAACACCCAGAAGACTACTCTTGAGTCTGGCGCCTTAGACCGCTCGGCCACTCCGACGTGATGTGGCCGACTCACTCGTCCAACTATCACTCGTTTAACACATCATTAACTACTAATACTCACCCTCCTCCAACTACTACTCATCATCATCATCATCAACAGCAACAACAACTACACCACCAACACCGCATCACCATTCACATTCATCGCTACGCATAACCCAACTGTGTCGAACAAAACACATCGCAACAACACTCAACTATCCATCCGCCTCATCAAACTCCGAATAAGTATACTCTATACGCTGTACAACTCCAACACTCACTATGTCCGTCATCGACATTTGAGAAGCGCACTGCTACAACGAGCAGTTCACATGCCACCGAGAGAATAGACTCACAACGTTGCTCGAATCCACTCGACAACATGTATGTATGTGTGGTTGCAGGCATGTATGCATGTATATATATTTATATGTGTCTGTGTGTGTGTGTGTGCGCGTGCGCGCGCGAATACATATATGAATGCACACGCACCCAGTCAGTCAAAATCTTCGTCATCTCCACCAATAAATTGAGCACGAGTGAGGAGCACACGCCACCTATACACATTGCAAGTATGTGCGAGTCGGAATCGTGTGTTTCGCAATGAATGACTTATCGCTTTCTCACCAATCATACGTGTCGCGTTCATCAGACCGATCAACTGTCCGGTTGTGCCAGTCATCTGGAATCGTTGTGCACAGTGGTGTTCGGATTCCCATCTTCTGTTCTCACCTCTCGCCACGTCTGCTTTCACTGCTTCTTACACTCCACCCCCCCCCCTCCCAACCAACATTATGTTGGTTCGTCGCATGGAATCTCGTCAGCACAGATTACATTTCATCCACCGTCAGTTGTAGGTTACGTCAACTCTCGTGTCTGCATGGATCGCGCAAACTCACCATCGCCGTATCGATTGCATCGATGAGTGTGTTGTGCAGTTCACACTACCCCACGCATTGACTGGAAGAGTGAGAAACGTCGTTTGATTAGGCGTGCATCTTGACTATGGATGTGTGTCTGTGTGTGTCTGTGATTGCGATGCACAGAAGACCGGTTGTGGTGTGCAATGTGGTCAGCGCTGGTCGACAGTGTATTGGCAAGACGAGACATGCGACGAAGTCGGTCAACGAGATGAGTGAAGTGGACAATGATCTGCATCAGAAGTTGTGTGTGAAATTCGGCGACGACGCCATGTGTAGGCGCTTATATGCATGCATACACATGCAAATGTACACGATTTTATATGTGACTGGATCTGGTTGCTCCGATGCTGTGGATTGAGGCGCCGCAGTTGTTGAACTGGGCACGTGTGCAGATGAACGTGTCTGGGAGTGTGTGGATGAGGTGAGTGTACAGAGAGACAGGCGAGCGCCAGTTTGTACTTGTTGTTTGGAGTGTCGATGGGACTGCAGTTTTATTTAGTGTTGTGCGTAGTGAAAAGCGTGTGTCGGAGGTGGGATTCGAACCCACGCCCACATCGTGGACCAGAACACCCAGAAGACTACTCTTGAGTCTGGCGCCTTAGACCGCTCGGCCACTCCGACGTGATGTGGCCGACTCACTCGTCCAACTATCACTCGTTTAACACATCATTAACTACTAATACTCACCCTCCTCCAACTACTACTCATCATCATCATCATCATCATCATCATCATCAACAACAGCAACAACAACTACACCACCAACACCGCATCACCATTCACATTCATCGCTACGCATAACCCAACTGTGTCGAACAAAACACATCGCAACAACACTCAACTATCCATCCACCTCATCAAACTCCGAATAAGTATACTCTATACGCTGTACAACTCCAACACTCACTATGTCCGTCATCGACATTTGAGAAGCGCACTGCTACAACGAGCAGTTCACATGCCACCGAGAGAATAGACTCACAACGTTGCTCGAATCCACTCGACAACATGTATGTATGTGTGGTTGCAGGCATGTATGCATGTATATATATTTATATGTGTCTGTGTGTGTGTGTGTGTGCGCGTGCGCGCGCGAATACATATATGAATGCACACGCACCCAGTCAGTCAAAATCTTCGTCATCTCCACCAATAAATTGAGCACGAGTGAGGAGCACACGCCACCTATACACATTGCAAGTATGTGCGAGTCGGAATCGTGTGTTTCGCAATGAATGACTTATCGCTTTCTCACCAATCATACGTGTCGCGTTCATCAGACCGATCAACTGTCCGGTTGTGCCAGTCATCTGGAATCGTTGTGCACAGTGGTGTTCGGATTCCCATCTTCTGTTCTCACCTCTCGCCACGTCTGCTTTCACTGCTTCTTACACTCCACCCCCCCCCTCCCAACCAACATTATGTTGGTTCGTCGCATGGAATCTCGTCAGCACAGATTACATTTCATCCACCGTCAGTTGTAGGTTACGTCAACTCTCGTGTCTGCATGGATCGCGCAAACTCACCATCGCCGTATCGATTGCATCGATGAGTGTGTTGTGCAGTTCACACTACCCCACGCATTGACTGGAAGAGTGAGAAACGTCGTTTGATTAGGCGTGCATCTTGACTATGGATGTGTGTCTGTGTGTGTCTGTGATTGCGATGCACAGAAGACCGGTTGTGGTGTGCAATGTGGTCAGCGCTGGTCGACAGTGTATTGGCAAGACGAGACATGCGACGAAGTCGGTCAACGAGATGAGTGAAGTGGACAATGATCTGCATCAGAAGTTGTGTGTGAAATTCGGCGACGACGCCATGTGTAGGCGCTTATATGCATGCATACACATGCAAATGTACACGATTTTATATGTGACTGGATCTGGTTGCTCCGATGCTGTGGATTGAGGCGCCGCAGTTGTTGAACTGGGCACGTGTGCAGATGAACGTGTCTGGGAGTGTGTGGATGAGGTGAGTGTACAGAGAGACAGG